TTTGCCCTTCCTCTTCCTGACTTACATAATTTAGTACGATAACCTCTAGGTCCACTCACGTTGCTGCAAATGGCAATTTTTCATTCTTTTTTGTGGCTGAGTAATATTCCGTTGCATGTATATATATGTGCATATATAGAATTCCATTGCATATATATATAGCATATATATATATATACTGCAGCTTCTTAAACAAATCATCTGTTGATGGGCACTTGGGATGTTTCCATGTCTTGGCTATTATAAATAGTGTTGCTACAAACACTAGGGTGCATGCATCTTTTCAAATTAGAGTTTTCATCTCTTCCAAGTAAATGTCCAGGAGTAGGATTGCTGGATCATATGGTAATTTTAAGCTTTTTTAAGAAACTTCCATATGTTTTCCATAGCGGTTGAACTAATTTATGTTTAAAAAAAATTTTTGTTGATGTACACTCAATTTATAATATTGTGTTTGAAAAAGAGTTTAATAAGGGATTGACTTTTTTAAGGTGTAGAGAGAGTTTAAGGAACCCTGTAAAGAAGTAGTGTGCTGCCCCAAAGCTAACAATAGCTGGAAGCCCATTAAGGACCAGGATTGAGAGCAATTTCCAGATCTAGGAAGGAGAATTATATGGACGAGAGCTGTCTGCATGAGCTGAGGTTTTGGGTAGAAGTAGACAACCAACCTGCAAGGCAACTTGGCTGGAGGTTTCCAGAGGAATATGTATTTTAGCTGTATTATCTTCTTTCAGTCTCCTTCCTAACTTATTTCACTTGCCAAATGCAATCACAATCCAGAAAGTCAGCATATACAGGGAGCAATTCATGTATGTCAGTTTCTCTGGAGACAAAGCAGAGTGGGGAAGAACAGATGATGGATCTGGAGGGCCAAAGTAGCACAACCCATTCCTCATTTCTTCAGCTCCCGCTCTTGTCTTTGTTCAGATGAGAAATGCTTGCCTCCAGCCCAGGAAATACTCAGAATCTCATCACCACCACCATATGGAGATGTGGGCACAGTCCCACCTGAAAAGTGAAATTTCAGCCCTCTTTAGTACTCTTCACGTAAGAGAGGAGGGAGGAGGAGGAAAGATGACAAAGAATGAATTAACAGAAACCATTTCTACTATAATTCCTGCATTTATAGCTGTTCACAGGACTAATAATCATGAATTCCTTCTTCCACTACCCATTCCCTTTACCGTCTGCCTGCCCCTTCATTGTATGCGGTCCTTCACCTGATAAAGGGACTAAACCTCATTCCTACAGAAATGGAGGTCTTGAGGATCCTGTCTCTTTGGGGTTGAGACAGTTTTTTATTGACCAGACTGTTGGGCAAGTTGGCAAGACAATCAAGTGAACCTCTTTGGCCCAGTTACAGTCTACCTTGCCCGCAGGGTGTAGCAGTAATCGAGTTTCCTCTTGGCAATTAGGATCAGTCATCCCAGCCTCGTCTGGGCTTTCCCGATGGCTCAGAGGGTAAAGAACCCGCCTGCAATGCAGGAGACACAGGAGACTCAGGTTCAATTCCCGGGTCAAGAAGATCCTGGAGAAGGAAATGGCAACCCACTCCAGGGGAGAATCCCATGGAGAGAGGAGCCTGGCAGGCTACAGTCCAGGGGTCGCAAAGCATCAGACTCGACTTAGCATGATGCACAACATTCCAGACTTGTCTAGCTGTTTTGTCAACAACAATAAGCATTCCTTGAAGTAGATTTTAAAGATAAAGTCACTGTGCTGGGGGTTGCCTCGGGGACAATAGGACCCTGGCTTTCAACCTTGGTATCACTGCATTCTCCTCATTTGATTTAAGTGTCTGCATCAAATCTTGAAATCTTAACCTCCTTTCAGTACAAAAATCACTGTCTTTATCATCATTCCTATATGAAGCACTGCATGCTACTAAATATTCTAGTGTAAATGAAGGGACAGGAAAGAAACTAAAGGCTCACTTTTCCTGTTTGTGAATCTGACCCATACATAGCTCTTATGTCCCAGGCCACCAAGTCGCTGAATCGCACTCACACACAGTCACACTCTGGCTCTAACCTCATCTAGTTTCAATCACCATTTTCCTTTTTAAAAAAAAAATTATTTATTTATTTTAATTGGAGGATAACTACTTGACAATAGTGTGATGGTTTCTGCCATACATCAGCATGAATTGGCCACAAGTATACATGTGTACCTCCCATCCTGAACCCCCTCGCACCTCCCTCTCCACCCTAACCCTCTGGGTTGTCCCACAGCACCAGCCTTGGGTGCCTCTCCAGTGATTGCACTGGCCTTGCTTCTATTCTTACCCCTCCTAGAACTATTCTCCACCCAACAGTCATGAGTCATATCAAGTCTTCCCACACCTGAAACCCTCAAGGGCATCTCCCAATCCTAAATGCTGGTTAGGGTCTCAGGGAGCTTGTGTCTCATACAAGCTCACAGATTAGTCTTCTTAAATACCTGAATGCTGCCATCTGCTGCTGGGGAAGTAGACACCCAAGGCTTCTGCCAGTGCCAAGAACAAGCCATGCCAATAGTACCAGCCAAATGCTAGCCACTGCCACTGATGCCAAAAAAATAAAAGAGTTGCTACAGCAACTGCCAGTGATTATGTCAAGATTCCCCATGAGGAATTTGGACTATCTCATGTCACTGTCACATTTCCAGAACTGCCCTCCAGACTTGGACAGGATCCTGGCACCTTATTCCTTATATCCATTGGCATTCAAAATTTTTAAATCTCTTCATTTCAGACTCCTTGTCATAGGATGGAAGTATCTGTGAATCCAATCTTAAAGGTATTCTTCCATGGATGGCTCAATTTCTAGAAGATTGGTCAAAAACAAGTGCAAATTTTTCTCAAGTCATTAGTGAAGTCTCTCTGTCATGTCTGACTCTTTGCGACCCCATGGACTGTAGCTTACCAGGCTCCTCTGTCCATGGGATTTTCCAGGCAAGAGTACTGGAGTGGGCTGCTGTTTCCTTCTCCAGGGGATCTTCCCAACCCAGGGATCAAACCCAGGTCTCCTGCATTGCAGACAGAGCTTTTACCATCTGAGCCACCAGGGAATCCCCCTGAGACTTATCTGGAAGAAGAGAGAAAAGAGCCCTAAAACTCAGCTTAACCCGTAAATAATTCTCATCCCATCATCCTGGAAGTTTGGCTTTGGTACCTTTCAGCATTTGGAGCCAATACCAAAAGCATTAACTCTTCTTTATCCACAAGTGAATGTGCAATTCACATATGTGTTCACAATCACCATCAGTCTTTTTTTCAAGTGAAGTATAGTGGCTGTACAACATTATATAAGCTACAGGTGTATGATATAGTGATTCATGGTTTCTAAAGGTTATACTTCATTCATAGTTATAAAATATTCACTGTGTTTCCCATGCTGTACAATATATCCCTGTAGCTTATTTCATACCTAATGGTTTGTACGTCTTATTCCTCCGAACGTTGCCCTTTTCCCCACAGGTAACCACTTCTTTGCCCTCTATATCTTAATCATCACCAGTCTTGACCTCATCTTTCAGGAGCTTGGCAAACAACTGGTGAGTGCCCTGTAGAATAGCTCCTGGCTCTTTGGAGAAGAACGCATTTGAGACTGCTGACCACCGACTTTCACCTTCTGTGGGAAGACCTATACAAGCTTCAGTGCTGGTGGTGTTTCTCCATTCTTCTAGACAGAACTAGTCCAACTTCATCTCTACTCTCTTCTCTGTACTGCTGCACAAATCTTGATGACGTCCAGCTTTTGCCCTCATGTGTGTTTCATCTTCCACGCACAAGACTTCTCTACCAGGGCTAAACTCCACTAGCAGATGAGACTCCCCAAACTCAATCAGCTTCCCCTTTCCTTCCTGACTCACAGGCAAACTGGAGGATGCCCTGCCTAAGAGGCTGAGAAGTGAAGTCGCTCAGTCGTGTCCGACTCTTTGCGACCCCGTGCACTGTAGCCCGCCAGGCTCCTCTGTCCATGGGGTTCTCCAGGCAAGAATACTGGAGTGGGGTGCCATTTCCTTCTCCAGGGGATCTTCCCAACCCAGGGATGGAACCCGGGTCTCCCGCATTGCCGGCAGACGCTTTATCCTCTGAGCCACAAAGAGTTCATCTATATCAACACAGGCAATATGTATTTCTCCTCCAGCATCATTCTTTTCTTTTATCCACAAACTGCTAATGATGCAGATGAATTCTTTTAAATTTCTTACCTTTTTACTTTCAGAATCACATGCTGAATCAACACAATAAATCTATGTAGGTAATACAGAAGATCCCCTAGAAGTCAGATAGAACTAGCTTGAAAAGTTTCAACTACTCATAGTGACACAATATTTTAAACATGTTTCTGACTTGGCTTTCTCAGCAGTAAAAGGGGATAATACTAATAGCACCTCATTTGCTTAGAGTCAGGAATAAAACCATTTATACAGCTTCTGGGCCCATTTAGCAAGCAGGAATGATTACATGATGATGATGGTAATGATGGTGGTGAAAACAGTAGAGGGGAAAAAAGTCACAAAGTCACAAGATTCAGGATATCGATGTGTTTATTGAGACCAACTAAACATAGCTCCATAATTATTGTCATAAATATTAGTATTAACCTTATGATTAAGTAGAAATATCTTATAATGCTCCCATAAATAAACCCATATTAGTAAAGTGACATAAATAATAAGACATGTACTTATAACAATAAATTAATTCATAAATATAGAGTATTGATTATGGAAATAAAGTTATTTAGGGGCTTTTTCTAAAGAGATAGAAAGTAATCTTCTTTGTGGGGAAATAGTTAAATTTCTGTGTATAAAACACTGACTACAATAAAAAGTTATTAATATGCTTGGAAGGTCTAGCTTCTGATCTTATGGATACAAGTGACATCGTTCTCATTTTGAAGTTAAGCCAGGGTTTTTTTAGAATTTACACAGGACTATGGAGTTTGGCTTCCCCTTTTCCTTTTGATAAAAGAAAACCTCAGGGGATCTTATTGTTTAACAGGTGAGAAAGGTTAGTAATCCATTTTCCAGCCTTGTTCTACTTGAGCACATTCACGTCTCAGAGCTATAAACAGCAAGTTCAATTCTCCAATGACTTTAATCTCTCCACTCTCTCCAAGCTGTGAAAATAAGAACACACAAGTATTTCAGCATTTATACCATGTTTTCTAAAGAGAAACAAATTAGAGAGAGATGAGATGGTGAGGTTGTTGGAACAGAAACCAAGTTTTAGCCTCTTAGAAAAGATTAGTGATAATACCCTTTTCCAAAAGTATATGACCTGATCTGAGAGGGCACATATGGGCATCAGTCTCAGCTGGTTGACGTGTTAAATCACTGCTGACCCAGAGCAAGCAGGTAGAGGCTGTGCTGGGATCTGGGAGACCCAAGCACCACTCATCCCTCCTTGCCCTGCCTCTGAGCCCCACGACTATCTGTGACCAACCAGTTAGTATAACCACTCAACTCCAATAGTCTTGAATCAAAACTACCACATTTACCAAAACATGTGGACTTTTTCTGTTTCCACTTTCTTGACCAAGGTGGGGGAAAACAAGTTTTCACTTTTGTGGGGAAATATCAAATGCCTCCTATCTAGTTGCTTTAACAGTGAAAGGGCAGATACAGAGTCTAACACCCTTTCTTTCCTCCTCCTTCCGAAAGTAGTAGGCAAAATAGTCTTTTAAACCCCATGGGAGAGGGAATACAAGTCTAAGTCCCCTCCTCTGAAACTTGTCTAATTAAATGTGCTCAAGATTATTTCAAAGGAAACAGCAACCCTAAGTCATCACTGTCCTCTAGATTTTGAGCTTTCTCTTCCTGCTTTCTTCCATCTTTCCACCTTTCGATACTTCCTTTGACACAATGATAAGAGATATTTTTTTTAATATCTCAAAGACTCTCAAGATGATAAAGAATTCTACGGTCTGTTCTCTGTTCTGCTACTGCATGCTTTCTGCTTTTCTTCAGTGACAGGGGATTACTATCCCCCCAAGATGCCCTCCCATTTCACAGTGCTGACCAATGTTTATGCATGCTGAGATTTCTCTGAATAATATTCCTCTCTCACTATGCTTTCTGGAACTACAGGGTTAAAAAAGAAAAAAAAGCATAACTACTCATCCACATGGCAGCTGATTGCTAATGTGAAAGTCAATTCCCTCAAAATGGATTAAGAGGTTTAAAATCTGTTTCCCCACATCAGCTTTTTCTCTCCCACACTCCACTTTTCTAAAGACAACAAAGTAAGCTCATATGAGGAATTTTTCACACCCGAAAGGCAAAGTACTTGGCTATGGCCTGCTAATATTCAGCCCTCTGTGTCTATCTAATCATTCTATGACAAGAGAATTTATCTTCACAATGAAAAACAACAAATCCTTCAGTTATCAAAGGAAGGCATTGACAATGTTCGTTAAATCACATTCAGGAAGAGATACTTTTTATTAAAAAAAAAATCAAGATGGAAAAAAGAGGGAATTGAGGTTACGCTTGTTACTGAAAATTCCATCAACCAGAGCCTTCTTGTTTCTGAGGTTTAATTCTATCTGCTTGCCAAACCATCACTTTTGCTGCTGCTCATGGTAGCTCTGGCTTCTGGATGAGTCACAGCAGCTGAGTTCAGCCTTCCCCTGTTGTTCTTTTTCCCCAAATAGGCCACCTGACCGTATCATTCTCTGTCAAAATATACACTAACCCATATCAGATAGACGCTCACTAGGGCATTGTCAAGGGAAGGAAGACACAAGGAAAGAGGAAGAAAGAGGGCTTCCAGTGTGGACGTTCGTTTCCCTGCAATGAACCCATTACTAATATTAACATTTCCATTCTATTTGAAACTGTGTAAAAGAAACTGGGGGGTCATTCACTCTCACTTTTAAATTAAAACCAATAGCTGCTGGGTATTTTAATACTTAAATATAAGTACCAACCATTCCAGAAATTCATCCTATGTGCAAGTCCAGCTTTTTTGTTACGGCTGTTCTAGGTATATTTCTCCAAGTTTTACATCATCATGTGAATGACTTCAAAATTATTTCAAATAAGTTTTCCTCAGTTTTCTGGTTTTGAACAAATGCTTCTTCAGACTAAATGAATCAGTAGGTATCTTAAATTTCCCTAAGAACTAATGAGACTAAGTGGAATATCGAGCACTTCTGACCTGGATGGGATTCAGAGGTCCTGCAGTCTATTCTGACTCTGACACTGGCCATCCCTAGCACATGGGTGACAAGATTAGATGACTTAAGTTCCCAGCCAGTTCTAGAATTTGCAAAATTTGGAAACTGACTTATAAACATCTATATGTATGTGCACCTAAATAATCAACCCAATGGCAGGAGAGTCCAGTAAAAAATCATGACATGGGAGAAAAAAGAAAAGAAAGGGAAGAAAAACAATATTTGTCTCTTCCATCAAATGATTTAGCACTAACAGTTGTTAGTAGTACCTTTTTCACTGTGTTCTTCAGATTCTGTACATTTCTCTGGATGTGCTGGCTGTCATACTCATGCTACAAAATGGAAATGAGAGTAACAAGTTTAACATTGTTGTACTGAAGCTTTTTGAAACTCAGCCTTCCTAACCGAAGTATGTTACAATTCACCTGGAATTAAAGTTCTTAGCAATTTTGCCCACAACGACCTAGATATCAGTAGTGACCTAGATTTTCTGACCTCTTCAATTCCCTGGGACACCAAAATCCAGTCATTTCCCTTACACGGGGTCCTCACTTCACCTTTGGGAAACCCTATTGAGGTTGAAGTTTGTGGAAAGAGTGGAGTGGTTTATGCAAATCCTGTCAAGAATAAAACCATAACGGCACCTCATCAAAAACACGGGCTCAGAACAAGAAACCTACATGAAACATCTCATGTGAATAGGGCCCTCCTCAATAAATACTAGGCCCCCTTTGCTCAACCCACTCCACTAAAATATTTTTCTTAGTTTTCAATATTCAGAGGCATCAAGCTCACCCACCTCTGATTTTGTCACTTCCATTATCAAAAGGGCAGCAGTCTTCATCCAACCCACCCACTGCCGAATATTAAATCTTCTTGTTTCTCCCTTTCTCTCTTTCCCATCCCCTCCCTCCGTCAACTTATATTCAGTGAACCCATTTGCATCAATAGGTATTTTTCCTTACAGCTCCCAACACCTTTCTCATCTCACATAGTCTGACTTGCTTTTTCCCAGGGACAAATGAGCCTCTTGTGGTCTTTCAGACCCTACCCATCACAATCAACTAAAAATGGGACTCAATTAACGCAAAAACAAACAGGCTGTGACGCCAAACGATTTCTGTAATGGTGTGACGGAGGCACCTCTTACTACCAGCACGGAAGGGGCACTGGGGTGGGAAGGAAGAGAGTTCCACACAGAAGAAAGAGGAAAGGCAGGCACCCGGGAGGATCGGACTTAGGCTGGAGAAGAACTTACGCATTGGCTTAGCTTTTTGCTGAGCTTGGAGAAGAAAGGCACCACCTCTTTCATATAGGGCTGGAATTTATCGGACTGGGGGAGCAGCACCTCTTCAAGAGTAAAGTTCAGTACCTGCTTCAGCAGATAGCAGCGTTTTGTCACCTGCTGGTGAAAGTGAAACAGCAGGGCTCAGATGAGGCGACATCCGCAAGACCCAGCCCATCCTCACCATCACGCCAAGTAATCACAAGTGGCATCATGCCTATGGCTTACATTGATTCCCTGGAACAGTTTTTTCCCAATGAGACGGACATCTGTGATGTTATCTGCCAAACTAGCCTGGAAGAGAAGAAAGAGTAAGTGCCTGGACATCAGAAAGCTAGAAGAAATGTCTGTAAGTAAAGCTGTACTCTGTCCCCTCTTCGCAGAGCAGCACTGTGAAGGCCAAAGAAAGGGTTCTTTAGTGCATGGGTTTAAAATGATGCTCAGAGGCTGAGGGGAGGGATAAATTAGAAGTTTGGGATTAACATATACATACTACAATGTGTAAAATAGATAGCTAACAAGAAGTTACTATATAATACAGGGAACTACACTCAATATTTTACAATAACCAATAAGAGGAAAGAATATATAAAAGAATAAACATACATTATATATACACATATATATATATATTTATACATATATATAGACCTGAATCCGTGTGCTATACACTGGAAACTAACATGACCCAGTAAACCAACTATACTTCAAAATAAGTTAAAAAATAAGATAGAAAAGTATAATGTACAGCATAGGTAATATAGCCAATGTTTTATAATAACTATAAATGGAGAATAATCTTTAAAAATTGTGGATCCCTATGCTGTATACCTGGAACTTAAATAATACTGTCAATGAATTATACTTCAGTAAAAAAAAAAAAAAAGAATGGATTTAAAGCTCCTAGAATAGAGCTCATAACATAGTAAGTGCTCAAAACATGTCAATTTCTTTCTCTTCAAAAAATAAAAGAATGCTTCGAGGAGTAAAGGGAACCATAAACAGTCAGATGGGTTACTACATGACTCTTTTGGGGGTAAAACTGAATGTACATATCCTAAAGGGCAAAATGGAAGGTCTCGAGGTGAAGCTTGATCTCCAAAAAGTCTTAAAAGACATAGAAAATGATGGCAGGTATATCAGTAGAGAGAAATGTTCATCTATTAAAGATCTGTGATGATCTCTGAAGACATTTTAAGAACTCTTCAGGTTCCAAGTAGATAAGATGCAAAGAGAAAGGCTGAGATGAGTACCTCCTGGGCCAGAGTGAAGGTGTAGTTGATGATGTAGGGCTCCTGGAAGTCGGACTCATTGAGCCTGCAATGCGACGTGATGGGCACAGCTGCTCCTCCCTGGGCGCACAGCACCAGGATGAGGAGGCAGCCAGCGGCCAGCGTGGACACGAGGGGAGAGCTCACAGATTTCTGCAGGGCAGCCATCGTGGACAAAGCAAACCTGAGCAACGGGTGACTAGGGAAGGAGAACCTGGTATCAAGAGAACGAGAAACAAAATCAACATCCAGGAAAAAATTAAGTATCCAGAAGTAATAGACCCAGCAAGCCAATCCTACCAAGTTCGTGGGAGGACTTACCTGTCTGGAGGCTTCTGCTTGTGATGGGAAAGTAGAAGCTGCTGCTTTTATAGCCCCCAGGACACCAAATTGTCTGTGTGAAAATTGCTATGACATCAGCAATTATCTAATTTCCAGTGCTGTCTTCTGAGAACTACCTAACCACCATAGGAGCCCACAGAGCACCACCTCCAAGCCTTCCCACCTTGATACACCACCATTTCCCTACAACGTCACTATTAGGCCCCGGCGGGGTGTGCTTTTACAGACAAATCCCAGAAAGTTTCTAAACCCTACATACTTTTCAAAGAAAATGACTGTTTTGTCTTTGTAGATTCCAGGTTTAGTTTAAAATTTTCTGATCTCCTGTAGTGAGTAAGCATTTTGGTCACGGACTCACTTTCCTAGCAGCTTCATAGATTCTTATCTCTTTAGAGGTGATCAAACAAAAAGGACCTATATCCTTTACTTTAAAATAAGCAGTAATGACAGCTTGGAGACAATTCCATTTTTCAAAAAGAATTTTATGTCATTTTTTAAAAACTATGCTGAATGCTGAAGAAGACTTAAATTTTAAAAGTAGCAGTATTGGCTAACAGAATTTTCCTCTCCCATTCTATGGCATTTTTTAAGTGGCTGAATGATTAGAGTAGATGTAAATATATCTTAAAGTTTTCATTAAATTATAATCAATATCAATTTAAACTTGAAAATAGTAATGCTGAACAATCTGATCAGTATTTTTCTTAACATGCAAATATTTTAAGAATACAGTCAAGTAGTTAATTTTTCCTGCCCGCATTCTAAACAACATACAAGTTCCCCCAAAATATTTCCAAAAACCTTATAACACTTTTTATTGTATACATGAAAGTCTAAAGAAGAGAATCTGGCAATTTAATGATTACAGGTGGTTTTTATTAAAATACATTGAACTCTGAATAATACCTAAAACTGAAACCTTCCCAAGGAGGTGGGATCAGGGAACAAGGGCACTGATCTGTTACTAAGGGAAGGAATGTAAATTCGTGCAAATTAATTTGATCAGATTTTTCTTTTCGCAACAAGCTTGGATCAGGAGCATCAAAGAAGGCATGTGAATAATTGTGGAAATTTGAGCATCTTGTGAGATTGCACAGGCCTTGGGCAAGGAGCCGCGGTGAAGAGTTAAGACAGCATTAGGACGCTGAACATTTGGGAAGGTAATTAAAAAGGAAGGTTAGGGAGAGTACATAAAAACCATACCCACTGCACAAGTTTGCTTGAGCTGATTCATCAATGCCAAACGAGAAAACTCTTCTTTTCCAATTTCCTACTAATAAGATATGACCATTTTTGTCCAAAATGCTATATAATTATATTAGCATTAGAGTTAAGAGTTAAGTTCTTAACTCTATGCATAGTTAAGCTCTCTATATAAACTATATAATGGATTAAATTAGGCTTCTGTTGGTTTGCCTGGGAACCTTACAAACATACTTAATTTTGTGCCCACCAGAAAATAAGTTCTTACATTATTGAATTATATGCTTTTGAGAGAAAAGTCTATCTCTCTCTTTCATCTTTGTATCTCTAGGACTTAGAACAGTGCTATACACATAGGAAGGACTTGGTAAGAGCATATTGAATGAATAGATAAATAGATTAAATAATTTACTAAGTGTCTTTGGGAACCTGCATGGAGGTAATTTGGGAATTGCCTTCTTATGTTGGGGTTTGACTCAGTACTACTTGCCAGCTTCATTATTGTTCCTGTATAAGGAATAAATAGTTGTAAAACAAAAACAGAATGCCAGAAAATTGCAAACCAATTTAGTAGCAGCAATACATCTATTGTTCATTATGTGGCCCTGATGAACAACCTCTAGTAAGATAGTGTTAATGGAGCCAAGATCTTAGATTTTAGTGAGCTTGACAAGACCTACTAAGGGGAAAGTCTGCTCCAGGGCTGTATGTGGATTTCCAAACCATCATACAAGAGTCTCACAAGTATGTGCTATCAGGAGAGATAGTAGATACATCATAAAACTGCTTCTATGAAAATAACTATTCATAGAGACATATGTGTGCTAAATAATTCCAGATTATTAATGTGTCTTCTTTAAAGTTATTTCTTTGTGAATGTTCAAGTCTCTCCCAGAAGCCACACTGGATGAAGGGCAACCGCAGCATCATGCTCCCTGGCCCCAGACAGATAGACTGTACCCGTGGGTGATCTTAGCTACATACAACAAGCTGCCAGGACGGGCTAACCAGAGTCTCCAGCCAGAGGCAGCCTTCGTGTCTCTTTCAAACACCATCCCAGCACCTAGAACAGTGCCAGACACATGGCAGCTGATGCAGGATGAATATTCACGGACTGCATGATTACACTCGTTCCCGACTCATTGGCCGATGCTTGGAAATCCACAGTCTGTTCCTCTGAAGTACACATCTCTTTAGAAGCAGGACTTCAGGTAGCTCAGGTAAGAAGCTTTGTATTCATCATACTCCTCAGGACAACATAGACGAGCATTGTTCCATATGAGGTTCCTTCTGTGTGTGTGTTTGTGTGTGTGGTGTGTGAGCCCCTACCCTCATTGTTCTCCTTGCCTCTGCACCCATCACCCACCACCACCTCTCAGCCTGCTATAAACACCTACTCTCATGTACTTGGCATACATTTGTAAATATATATTCATCCCTGTAAACTGTACAATTTTTATTTTATAGAAATGGTCCTCTCTCTTAATCTTTCACTCGCAGTGTTCTTGCAATCTACCTGTGGTGCTGTGTGTAGGTCCTATTCCTAACATGACATTCTATCCTGTGTCTCCACTTTTTATTATTGGCTCCCACGTTTCATCACTTATTACTTGTAAACCACCTCTGCTTCACTGCTGTCCAGACATCACAGCACTAAGCAACCTCATCTCATCCAAGTCATTTTAATGGTAATTTTAGAGAGTATTTTTGAAATAGTTACCCAGGTCTACGGGGCCATAGATATAACTTCATTAACTAGACACAGCAGAGTCAGTATTGATTTACTCTCTCACATCGGTGAAGTAATATTTTTGTTTTCTAAGATCCACACACACACTTGACATCATTCAGGTTTTAGAGGTTTAAAATGGCATCTCATTGTTAAAATTAGCATTTTCCATATGTTTGCAGCCACTAGGGTCCTTTTTTATAAATCGATTGTTTACATCAATTGCCCATTTTTTTAACGGGCTTTGGTCTTTCATTGTTATTGTTAGTGATGATTTGTGAGTGTACCCTATGTATTTTATGTATTATTTTCTTTTGGGTTGTAAGCATAACAAACTCTTCTCCCAGTTTGTGTCCTGCCTATTAACTTTTTGTACTTCTCTTTTGTTGAACAGAAAATGTGATTTGGATGTCATCTTAAATTTCTTTTTTTCGTTGTATGATTTGTACTTGCCAAGGTTTTGTGTAAAAAGTCTCCCTTCCTCCTTAGGTCACAGAGATATTTCTCTGTCTTTTCTTGTATTTACCCTATAATTTTGTTTTCCACAATCAGGTTTTTAATGCCTTTTGTATAGGATGGAAAGTAGGGAATCGGTCTTATTTTTTCCACTTAATGAGACAGTTTTCCCAACACAGTTACTAAAACAGTGTGTCCTTTATCATATGTGAATTTCTCATTAATAAACAGCTATCTTTGAGCTCTCTGCTGTTTTCCCATTGATTTATTTGGTTTTCTGTTTTTGTTCTTGAGCCAGGCCCATATTTTTTATTACTGAGTCTTTATATCTAGACATCCACCCTCTTTTCTCTACTTTTTCAAGGCTGGCTTAGCTATTCATGAACTTTTGGCATATATTTTACATAAATTTTATAATAGATTTATCAAGTTCCTGGAAAAGTGCTGCAGAAACTTCAGAATATCGTTTAAATTAAAGACTAATTCAGAGAGAATTAGCGTCTTTATAATATGAATTCATTTCATTCCAGAGCATTTACCATCTCTCTGCTACATAAGATCTTCTTTTATACCCTTTGATAGTGTTTCCAAATTGTCTCCCTGAGGTCTGGTTATATTTTTAATCCCTAGCTACATCACAGTAGAAGATATTAAGCTGTTATTAATCACTTTCACTTGGTTGTGAATGAGTACCGACTTGACTTGGAGAAAGAGATTATGGGATGCTCATTTCCTAAAAACAAAACGAGTATGCGGTTTTCTTCAAGGTCAGTAGAGAGGAGAGCTAGAGGTATCCAGCAAAGAACAAGCTAGAGACTAGCTAGGGCTCCTCAACATGAACTTTCTTTGCTTTTCAGTTCTGCTCGAAGATAACCCTGTCAGCACCCAGGACAACTTCTTACCATGTCCACCCTCTTCTTAACACTTTGCCCACAAAGACACTTGTCAACCATAGGCACCTTTCTCTCCTTCCTGAGGACTAAACCTTGTAAATCTGTACTATACCTCATCTTAAAGGAAACACTATACCCACAGGGATGTGTCACAATATAAATGAGTACAGCTTCCTCTCTAGTAATACCAAGTACTCAAACTGACTTAAACGATAAAAGAAAGCAATATTTATGCAATTTCTCACTACTCTAGGGCATAAACACAGAATATGGCATTGTGTTCTTAATGTCTGTCCTTTACTACCATAGATTTTTTTAAAATCTGTAGGTCCATCCCAGTCTCTCTTTTCATTCATTATTTTAACTAGTAAATCACTATTAAAAAATCCTAATTCATATTTGCTTATGCCACCAGATATTCAAAGTCATTGCTAATTACCTATTATCAGTGAATCTTTTATCCCAACTCTCTAGTCAATTTTAGGATTATCAGTTTTTCTTACAGTCTTTTGCCCAGGTTCAATTGTATTTTAAAATGTTGTTTT